AAAATGATCACCATATTGAGACAATGTGTCGTGCACAATATTTGGGTTGTTTTTACACTTTGAACTTTGTCTGTGCACAACAAGAGGTATACCTTCCTGTGTCCAAAACCTATTTGGGGAGCATCACCCGGTTCAACCGGCTCTTGTATATGGACAGGTTATATACTTTTAAGTTAGCAAAGGGTGACATGGGCTCATCTTGGGGTATCTCAAAGGGGTATTATGTTAAGTAATGATTACGGATCGATTAACCTTGAAAGTGATATGAGATACTATACAGAATAAAGATCAAGAGAGCTATAATTGTGTATATCAGAGTGGGTTATATTATGGACCTCATATAAGATGTATTAAACTTTTAACATGTAAACACCGAACGGGATGGGGAACGAAGGATTGACAATTTTAAATGAGTGCTAAAATAATAATTGTAACTGTTTTTTATTGTACATTATAGGAAAATTGCTATATCATTGTATTCTTTTTGATTAATTCATAGAAATCCAGCTGGGGTGAATTTAATATAAAATAAGAATAATATTTGTTAACGGATGGATAAATTAAACTGGATTATTTTAATATTTTGACCGAACAGCATACCAAAAAGACAGGCAGGATTAATAGAACAATAAAAATGACAATTGCAATACTGTCGATTATTACACATTTAATAGAAACACAAAATAACAAAGAGAATACCTAATCAAGGTATCATTATTTAACAAAACATATATTTATCAAATATCACAAGTAATTTCACTACATCAATATGGCTGTCAGACAGGTATTGAAACAAAATAAAGGTCTTTAAAATCCCAGGCCACATACAAAAGTAGCAGTCTATGCCCTGATAATGAGCTGACAGTTGTGGGAATATTGTAAAGGGTGACTTAGTCTGTCTGTTGTGATTACAACAGCTTTACTTAATGATTTTATTTATGTCTTATGTGTAACATGTATGTTATGGAGGGACAATGGTTTCAACATCCACTTCTCAGGCAGAGTCAATCCCACTACAGACTCCTAATAGAGTAGGTGTTTGCTTGCACTCTTGAATAAATTTGTGGACTAAATTTTATGGTGGCTGAGTTGGTAATATATGGGACATTCTAGACAATGGACATTTCCTACCAGACACGTTGAACCAGATTTTGGGACACTTAGGAACAGATTATTGGACATTTTGAACCAGATATTTGGACACTTTGGCCCAAACATTGGACAGGGTTTTCAGTATGATTTTGTGTAGGAGGCCAATTTCGAATTTGAGGAGGCCACTTGATTTGATTTGAGCACCGAAGGTGCAAATTATCTAGGGGAGTCCGGGGGCATGCACCCCAAGGAAATTTTGAAAAATTGATGTAAAATCATGATATCTAAGCTATTCTGGGGACAGAATTTAATATTTTGGACCTGTCAAAATATAGGAAATTTATGTCTTAATTAGACTGTTAGAGTCTAAAATGAAGCTGAACTCAAATGTTGAGACAATCCCATAATTTGTAAACATCTCTAGGGAAATCTAGAGTCATAGTCTTTTGAGTCCAGATCTAGTTTTTAGCTCACCCGTCCGTCGTACGTTGTCCGTTCACACTTTTCAAACGACATCTCCTCTGAAACCATAAGGCAGATCATAATGAAACTTCACAGGGATGTTCCTTGTGTGAAGCCTTAACAAAGTTGTTCAAAGAATTCCATTCCATGCAGAACTCTGGTTGCCATGGCAACCAAAAGAAAAAACTTTAAACATCTTCTTCTAGAAAACCCAAAGAGCTAGAGCTTAGATGTTTGGCATGAAACATCTTCTAGTAAGTGTCTACCAAGATTGTTCAAATAAAATCCCTGGGGTCAAAATTGGCCCCGCCCCAGGGGGTCATTGATTTTCCCTATATGCATATAGTAAAAACTTAAAAAAATCTTCTTTTAAAGTACCCAAAGAGCTAGAGCTAAGATATTAAGTATGAAACATCTTCTTATGAGTGTCTACCAAGATTGTTCAAATAAAAGCCCTGGGGTCAAAATTGGCCCCACCCCAGGGGGGTCATTGATTTTCCCTATATGCATATAGTAAAAACTTAAAAAAAATTCTTTAAAAGAACCCAAAAAAGTAGAGCTAAGATATTTAGCATGAAACATCTTCTAATCGGTGTCTACCAAGTTTGTTCAAATAAAAACGCCTGGGGTCAAAATTGGCCCGCCCCAGGGGGTCATTGATTTTCCCTATATGCATATAGTAAAAACTTAAAAAAAATTTCTTTTAAAGAACCCAAACAGCTAGAGCTAAGATATTTAGCATGAAACATCTTCTAATGGGTGTCTACTAAGTTTGTTCAAATAAAAGCCCTGGGGTCAAAATTAGCCCCGCCCCAGGGGGTCATTGATTTTCCCTATATGCATATAGTAAAAACTTAAAAAAAATTCTTTTAAAGAACCCAAAGAGCTAGAGCTAAGATATTTAGCATGAAACATCTTCTAATGGGTGTCTACCAAGTTTGTTCAAATAAAAGCCCTGGGGTCAAAATTAGCCCCGCCCCAGGGGGTCATTGATTTTCCCTATATGCATATAGTAAAAACTTAAAAAAATTTCTTTTAAAGAACCCAAAGAGCTAGAGCTAAGATATTTAGCATGAAACATGTTCTAATGAGTGTCTACCAAGTTTGTTCAAATAAAAGCCCTGGGGTCAAAATTAGCCCCGCCCCAGGGGGTCATTGATTTTCCCTATATGCATATAGTAAAAACTTTAAAAATCTTCTTTTAAAGAACCCAAAGAGCTAGAGGTAAGATATTAAGCATGAAACATCTTCTAATGGATGTCTACCAAGATTGTTCAAATAAAAGCCCTGGGGTCAAAATTGGTCCCGCCCCAGGGTGTCATTGTATTTAACTATATGTGTATAGTAAAAACTTTAAAAAATGTTCTTTTAAAAAAACCAATGAGCTAGAGCTTAGATGTTCAGCATGAAACATCTTATGGGTGTCTACCAAGTTTGTTCAAATAAAAGCCTTTGGATTAAAATTGGCCCTGCCAGGGGGTGGGGGGTGGGAAGGTCATTGTTTTTCATTACATGTGTGTAGTAAATCTTAACATCATGAAACATCTTCTAATGGGTGTCTTCCAAGTTTGTTCAAATAAAAGCCCTGGGGTTTAAACTGGCCCCGCTCCAGAGGCCTATATACAGGTGAGCGACCTCAGGGCCATCATGGCCCTCTTGTTTTAGGGAAATGTCAATTGAATGTATTTATAAACAAGAACTATTGAAATAACAGAACAAAACAATTTGTTCATGCTTGCAAGAATCGTAATACACATAGTATACATAGTACATTATAGTTAGGGATTTAATTGATTGTAGATGAAAATAAGTAACAAATCAATCTCTTTTTTTCATTTTTTTCTCAGGTTTATAAGTGTAAAAACACTAAAAACACATGTGATTGATGACTTACAAGAACACTATCTAATCAAACCACTGTTAAGATTGCCTGCCGTTCAATGCTGTTTTTGCCATGATTTCACATCAAGAATCCCTCCTAAATGTCAGAGATTCCTCACATCAAAATAGTAAAATGAAAGTAAAGATTAACAAGGGAGTGCAACACTCTGATTTCATATTCTTTTTATACAGTTTTTGAGCCATTTTGAAAAATTGCTGAGAGGCTTTAAAGAGTTTATTACAGAAGGACTGTCACTATGAACATAATTAATGTATTTTACACAGACAGAAATGGAATATGGAAAAGCTCACTGAAAAAAAACACAATTTTGCTGAAACCTGTTAGAAATTAAGTAGGAACTAGGGAAATAAAATGGACCCCCATCCAAGCTTTAGTGCAGGATGGAGGGCATTATTTGAATAAAGCCGGAGGCTGAGCATGTACAAAATAGCATTTCATTTTGAATTTATGGTTTAAGTCGCGTATTCAAAGGTTTAAATTTCCCGCTATATCACGGACATGCGCGTGACCACCGGAAGCAACAACCGGAAGCATGAAACACACGTTTTCACTCATTTAAAGAGTGTTTTTTGTTGCAATAAAAGCAACTAAGGGAGGGTTAAAACCCTCTCTATATTATATAATAAGACATTAATCACATACTATGATACTATACACAAGGGAGGGTTTGTACATGCTCAGCCTCCGGCTTTATTTCAAATAATGCCCTCCATCCTGCACTAAAGCTTGGATGGGGGTCCCATTATTTTTCATCAGCCTTCGGCTTCACATGTACAAAATAGCATCTTTAAAGGCAACAAAAAACAAATATTTTCCAAGTTTAATACCCCAAAAAAATATTCTATGTTCCAAAAACAGCATCATTATAAGAAATACCAGATTTCTAAGTTTTCTACAATAAAAACTTATGAAAAATTTTTAGATGATTTCCAATCAGCAGTTTTTTAAAATCTCCTTATTGAACATCCTTTATTATAGGCAGCCGAAGCTGATGCTCCTCTATAAGAATGTGCCTTATATTTAGTTATATCAATCCCTGCTAAACTTAACACATTTTTTAACCATCTTGCCAAAGTGCTCGAAGAAACAGCATTAAAGGTAACATATGAAACAAAACCTTTTTACTTTTTCTAATATCAGCAGTCTTTTTAACATAATAAAGTAGAGTATGCATTGGACATATATTTTCTTCCAGATAATGCTCTATCCTTATAGAGTAATATTGACCTGTCTTGGATGTCTTCAAAATATCCGTGAATGTGAAAACAACTGCCTGTTGTTGAATAAACATATTGTCTAAAGTTAAAGAACACAAAGTCTGAGCTCTTGGTGCAGTTGCAAGAGCAATCAAGGCTAAGGTTTTAAAAGTTAATAATTTCAAAGATAACCTAGATAATGGCATTAACTTTTGTAAATAACACAAAACAAACAGAAACATCCCAAATCATTATATAACGCGGTTTAGCCGTTTTATGTAAAAATACACTTCTCATGAATCTTACAATCATTTTGTTGTCACTACACCATGTATTTCCAATAAGGACAATGTTTGCATTAACATCGCTTTATGAAGATTTATAACCGAATAAGACATACCAGATTGAAATAAAAAATACAGGTAACTCACGACTACACCTTCAGACGAACAAATTGGACTGGAACATCTAATAGAATTCCACATATACCATCTTTTCCAGGCACTGCTATACTGTTTTCTTGTGCCCTGTGACCAAGATTCTGCGATGAAATCTGCAACATTTGATGAAATTCCCTTACTCTGCAGGCTTTCCCTGATAACACCACTCAAATCATTTTTAATTTTCTTCCTAATGGGTGTAATGTTCCATTGTGCGGCAAAACTAGAAGATCTCTGTGTCTGGGTAACCTGATAGGAAAATCACAAAGGTTTTCAAGTAGAATAGGGAACCAAGGTTGTGTAAACCAAAAAGGAACAACCATTAGAGCTCTATCAACCTCATCAATAACAATTTTATTTAGTACTTTCCCAATTAAATTAAATGGAGGAAAGATGTATGGTATCATATCCTTCCATGATAATGAAAAAGCATTAACTGCGTAAGCCCCTGGTTCGGGAAACCATGAAACAAATTTAGGTAAGTGATTATTAAGTCTAGAAGCAAAAAGGTCTATGTTAGGCATAAATGTGTGTCTACATAATCTTTCAAAAATATCTTTTTTCAATGTCCATTCAGTGGAATCTGAAAATTTCTAGAATAATAATCAGCACTTTTATTTAATTTACCAGGGACATGTACAGCAGAAATATATATATTTCTACTTAAACACCATTCCCATAAACATTTTGAAAGGTCATCTAATTCCAAAGAATTCATACCACCAAAATTATTTATGTATGTTACCACTGAAACAGAATCTGAATGAATCTCAATATGAATATCACAAAATTCATTGTAAAATGCTTGCATGCAGTAAAAAACTGCAAGGAGTTCCAAATAATTAATATGATAACCACATTCCTGATTTTTCCATCTGCCTTGTGTGTGCAAGCCAGAAATCAGGTCTATTCCACCATAACCTTCCATCGACGCATCTGTAAAACACCTTCTGGATACAGAAATAGGCCTGATTCTTTTACCATTTTTATTCTTCACGTTTTTTAACCACCATTGAATTTCTTGAATACTTTTCGTAGATAAACTAACTTTATTATCAAAATTCATATTTTGACCTAAACCTATCAACTTGTCTCTTTCAAGGGCTCTATAATGTAGTGGCCCTTCTAAAATTGCATAAAAAGAACTAACTATCACACCTATAAAAGATGCCAACTGTCTGACCAAAACAACCTCATGTTGCAATAAATAGGATGCTTTCGACATAATTTTCTGCACTTTTTCATCAGTCAAAAATACCTTGAACTGAACTGTATCAATAATATGACCAAAGAAAATAATTCTCTGACAAGGGATTAGTACAGACTTTTTCTCATTTATAGTAAATCCTAAACTCTGTAATGTCTTTGTAATAGTAACCGTATTATTCAAACACACATGTGACAACTCATTGAAATTAAATAGAATCATCAATATAATAAGAACAGCGTATATCTTGCTGTCTAAACCAAGCAAAAATGGGACGTAATACTTTAGTAAACAAATATGGGGCTATTTTCAAACCAAATGGTAAACATACAAATGAGTATAAAATAGAATTGAATGAAAACTTCAAATATTTCCAGTGTGAAGGATGTATAGGAAAAGAGAAATATGCATCAGATAAATCAACTTTTGTCATAAAATCATTTTGTTTAATCAAATCCAAAACAATAGAAAATGTTTCCTGTTTAAAATGACTATATTGTACGAACTCATTTAAAAATCTCAAGTTTATAACTGGTCGAAATTTATTATTAGGTTTAGGAACAATAAATATTATTGAAATAAATTGATCAATCTCTGATTCTGATTTAATAATTGCTCCTTTTTTCAACAAATCTTGAATTTCATTATGAACAATTGCTTTTTGATCTGAACAAAAAGGAATTTCATTAGGAATGCTTCTTTGAAAAGGATTTTCATTAAAATCTATCTTATACCCCGAAACTGCATTCAAGATCCAAGGATCTGAAGTAAATTTTTTCCATACACTTAAAAAATACTGTGTACGTCCAACTTGACTTACCCTTTCATTTATTCCTGATCGTTTGGGGCACTGGCTGTAGCAGAAGCCAAGGCACCTCTTCTCATACCTCTTCCTCGTCCGCCTAGACCAATCTTGAAAGATTGTCCACGTAACGGGTACGGTCTAGTCCTAAAACCAGAACGCTGATTGTATGTAGATGACTGGTAGCCGTAATTACTAAAATTTGAGTTAACAAATCCTCGACCAGAGCGTCTACGCTGGACACCTCTATAATTGCTGTAAGTATAATCCTTACCAATGTACGATAAAGCATCACAACTTTTGACTTCTTTTGAAACATCATCACCAAAAAGTTTGGTTGTTATAGGCATCGAAATACTACACAATGAAGAATACTTCTTCTTCAAATACGGTCTTATTAGATATCTCCTCCTCAGACTGAGGTTGTATTGCACCTGACCCAGAACAGTAAACAGGTCAGAGAAGATACATTTTGCCTCATTTTTCATAAGATTGTTCTTTTTCACAAACTCAAGCAACTTAACAACTGGACCTAGGCCCGAAACCACAAGATTTTGTATGTCCACCATAAACTTATCTTGAAAATGGGCTCTTTTGTCTAATGTTTTCCATATTTTCTGGTTAACAATGGGCGGAATGGCCCTGTCACAATTCTTAGGTACTTGGTACTTATTCAAAATAGAGTCTAAGTCACACTGGCAGTAAATGCCGTGTTAATTAAATTGGCCAAGGACTCATTCACTGGCTCACCTTTCTCTGGTATCTTTAATTTGGGAAGATCCCATGTATCACTATCCGACTCAAGTCTATTATCAGTACAACCATCGTCAAAAGCCGAAGAAAAATCTTTTGACAGATTACGAATCCCTGTATCTTCAATATCAACATCTTGGGCAGCAACCTCCACCCTAAGGTTAGGTTTTAATACTGCGAGAACAGCAGAATAGTTATCATTCACAGATTCATCATCCATATAATCATAATTATCCTCATTATAGTCATAGTTATCACAATCAGGGAGAAACTGAGGATTCTGTTGAACAACAGGCTGTATACCAAGAAGAGTCCTAAGACCTTCAATATCCTTATTAGATAAGTTTTTTCAAATCAAATTTATCCGAGGATAAATTTCTGTCCGATATTTCCGAAGAATTAGTATTCAAAGTTTTACCTGACTGTTTTTTGCCTTTACCACGAGGGGGTTTATTTTTCTTTCTCCACCACGACGGATTTTAACCGTTTTTTGTCCGAAGACTTTTTCTCTTTCTTACCGGTAATTTCTTGGTCCGAAAAACCCAGAAAAATCTCCCTCCTCACCCGAAGCATGAAGGTCTATCCTATCGAGAAGAGCCTCTTGGGCCATAATAATGCGGTTAAACGCAAAATAACTTTTAAAATAACTTAAACTTTCAAAAACACGCGACAACCACAACGCCAAAACAAAAAGTGAAAACGTGTGTTTCATGCTTCCGGTTGTTGCTTCCGGTGGTCACGCGCATGTCCGTGATATAGCGGGAAATTTAAACCTTTGAATACGCGACTTAAACCATAAATTCAAAATGAAATGCTATTTTGTACATGTGAAGCCGAAGGCTTGATGAAAAATAATGTCTTCCATGGTAGCTAGACCAGGGTTCACTGAAATAGAACTTACTCATCATTTGTTGGTCTTTAAAATTTACAGATAATGGTTAGATCTGGTTTGGATGACTTTTTGTGCCCCCACTTTAGTGGCGGGCATTTTGATTTACCCTTGTCCGTCTGTCCGTCCTTCCGTCCGTCCGTTCTCTTTTGTGTCGCATGTAACTCAAAAAGTATTTGACCTAGAGTCATGAAACTTTACAGGAATGTTGATCAGCATGTGTAGTTGTGCACCTAGGTATTTTCGTCTGGATATTTTTAGTATTTTCAGAGTTATTGCCCTTGATTTTAGTATATTTAGAGTTATTGCCCTTGACTTAGTAAAATTTTGCAATTTTCAACTTGTGTCGCATGTAACTCAAAAAGTATTTGACCTAGAGTCATGAAACTTTACAGGAATGTTGATCAGCATGTGTAGTTGTGCACCTGGGTATTTTCGTCTGAATATATTCAGTAAATTTAGAGTTATTGCCCTTGATTTTAGTATATTTAGAGTTATTGCCCTTGACTTAGTAAAATTTTGCAATTTTCAACTTGTGTCGCATGTAACTCAAAAAGTTTTAGACCTAGAGAGTCATGCAACTTTACAGGAATGTTGATCAGCATGTGAAGTTGTGCCCTTGACTTAGTAAAATTTTGCAATTTTCAACTTGTGTCGCATGTAACTCAAAAAGTATTTGACCTAGAGTCATGAAACTTTACAGGAATGTTGATCAGCATGTGTAGTTGTGCAACTGGGTATTTTTGTGTGGATTTTTTAAGTATTCTTAGAGTAATTGCCCTTGACTTAGTAAAATTTTGCAATTTTCAACTTGTGTCGCATGTAACTCAAAAAGAATTTTACATAGAGTCATTAAACCTAAAATACGGGAAGGTTGCTCAGCATATTTAGTTTTGCCCTTTACTTAGTTAAAGATTTTTAGTTTTCGAAAAATATTTGACCTAGAGTCATAAGATTGACAGAACAGTGGCGTGGTGGGGGCACCCGTGTCCTATGGACACATTTCTAGTTGAAAAAATATTTTCATGCAATGATCAGTTTTTAAATAATAGTTTTTGCCTATTCCAACCTACACTTTTTTTGTGGTAAAAATGAATAAAAGAATAACATTGATTGCTGTAAATTTTTTCGAGAATTTACAAGTATTTTGCTAATTTCAAACTAAAAATAAAATATCAAGAACAAGTTAAATTTATTTGTTTGCATTACCGCTACCTTTCAATGATTTAATTTTAACAAAAAAAAATAAAAATACACAAGTTGCTCCAAGTCCATGACAGGATGTGTTATATCACGGATTTATATTACAATATTGTTACAGTGGCACTCTACCCAAAAGGTCATTCTCACGGTTAGTACTTTTCACTAGTCACTATTTGTACATGTACATGTAGTTTAGCATGCTTTTCATGACTTTTTGTGTACACAACTCTCTCTCTTCTCTCCTGGACTTCGAACTGGTAACACACCTTTCTCTTGGAGTGGAGACATTCAACTACAGTTGATATATCAGGTAAGTGATTTATTATCATCATTTACTTGGTGCGAATTGTAATAATTGGCGCTGCGAAACTAAATTATGTTTATTGACTTGCGGGTTATTTTTTATTTGTAATAAATTGTCAAGTAACTTTTGACAATTTTTTGTTCATTTTGAAACTTCATATTTAATTTGTAAACCCCATTTTGACCATGTGGTAGCACATGTTTGAAATTTTTCTGATAAAATTTGCATACGTATTATAACTATAGGTCTGCCTTCATGTAAGTGTATTAGTTATTATTAATAAATACATTCATTTGGTAAATTAAAAAACCCTTTTTAAAAGGTTTAGGTGTCTAACTAGTTTTTTTGTTGTTTTTTTTTGTTTTGTTTATGTGAATTATTTGACATTATAGTGCTCCTTTATTTTGAGCACTGTAACACCCACTGCACGTGCTATCATCATTGTTACCACGTGCTATCATTCTTTTTCTTTAGGAAGCATATAACAATTAGGTTTATACTATTTTAGGTGTTTACATTAAAATTAAACACTATTCTTTTGGTATTTCTATTAAATCATTAGGTAATTTGACACAAAATTGCACTTAGTACCTTTTTTGTTGTTGTTGTAGCACTTTGTTTTATAAAGGGTTAACCCCAATGCCATGTCCTTATATTTATTAAATTATATTGTAGGTCTTTTCCAGTTGATTTATTGTTTGCATTGTTGTAAACATTTTCATTTTATTTGTAGTTTAAGGTTATATTTATATAACCTTTACAACAATTTACCTGGGTTTTTGTTACCATATATACAAACATTTAACTTAGTTTCAATTGACAATGACTAGTTACCAAAAATTGACAATGACTAGTTACCAAAAATTGCTCACCACGATGGACAACCTGTGTAACAAAATTGATCGCAAATTTGATGCCCTGTCAGAGCAAGTACTGGCTTTTTTGCTAGCTAGAAGTGAGCCTAGCCAGACACCTCCGGCATTTACGCCACCAAGTCAGGCTAAGCAAAGCCAAGAAAGACCCCCACCTGGTTTTGATAACGTACAATATATGGGTCCAGGCTTTGAACCATTACCGAAAGAAGTTGAGTACTCCAGCAGTACTCAAAATGAGTCTGTCTACTCTGGACAGACCTCACCGAAGTCTTTGACTGGTACCTGTACCCTACCACCACCCCCAGGATTTGAACCTTCACCAAAAGTAGTTGAGTATCCCAGCAGTACTCGAAGTGATACATCACCAAAGTATGTAACTACAAGGTTTGAACCCTATGCTTCAAACTGTCATGAGATAGACAAAGTGACAAATTAACAGCAGGGATTTGAACCCTTGTCTGACAATTTGCAGGATGAAATAGATGATGTTTTGGCTTTCATCGACAGCATTTGCCCCGTAAATGACAGTAAAGTCTATGCCGAGTCTGACCATGAACAGGGTCTCAAGTCCAAGAGCAAATGCAGACCAAGGAGTATCCGACATCCTCATTAACCAATGAGAGAACTTTTCAGTCCCATAATATGAAGAATAAGAAATCCTTGTTAACTTTGCCTCAACCTCAAGATATTCAATCTCATTTACTTGAGGTCTGTAATAGTAATGTTGGAGTGACCAAACTTTCTTCACCTCCTTTTACCAAACTATTTTCACCTCCATTTTCTTTTGGTTACCTATATGGAGGCTCAAATAAGGTTACGTCTCATGTCAATAGTGTAAGGTCACAGGTCATCACTAATAAAATATTCACTTCAAACATAAAATGTCTCATTTGTGGAAGTAAAGTTCAATTTGTTTACTTCTACCCTGATCCTGGAATCCTGAACAGATTTTAATTGGTGGTCAATGCCAAGGTTTATGAGATACATCAGCCAGTCTGTGTACTTTAGTTGGTCTGTCTGATAAACCTTGCCTCTTGTGTAGGTAAAAATGGGACTAGTTAGCCCAGGCTGTGTACTTTAGTTAACTGGTTCCATTTTGTCTAATTTTTGGCGTCCCCGCCGAAGCGCGGCGCCCTTATGGAATGAAATCAGATTTTGTGAAAGGGCGACAGCAACTTCTCGAGCCTTTTAGTCGGTCATAATAAAAGCCGATCATTCCGATTGGTATGAGGTTGCTTGTAGGTGCATTGTTGTGATGCATTGGCCCAGGCTGTGTACTCTAGTCACTGTGTCATTGCAATGTATTCAGCTTTCATGTAATTGTCTGTTTAGTGATGTTTATATTCACTCAGATCTGCGGCCCAGTCTGTGTACTTAAGTCAATGGTCTGTGCTGAATTTAATGTTTATATTTGTCATTCATGTATTATGTATCTTTAGGCTAAGGATCTGCCCAGTCTGTGTACTTAAGTAGTGAAAACCTTAAGATGCATAAATTTTTTTAATAAATTCTTTTTTGATGAATTTTTCTTTTAGAATTGACAAATAGGTTTTTTAAGTTTTCTCTTAAAATTAACAAATTTTG